GCTCCGTCCACTGGAACCACATGTTTTGCAGGTTAAATTGTTGGATTTGAAGAATCAGAAAGTTTTGCACCATATCACGGTAGCGCTCGCCAGTGACAGTAAGAGAATTACATGCAGCCAAAGAGCTTCACCGCACCAAACTATGACTCGACGAGGATGTAGTGGTCGTTGGAGGATGACACAAGGGTTCTCTAATGCCCGGATAAGACAATTCTGCTTATTAACAAATCCATTCATATCGAAGTAGGCTTCATTGCCCATTATCAGTTGCGGGTAATCATTATTCTGGATATTAAGCTGCAATATTGCATGACTGTATTGTCGGCGACTTTCAAGGTCAGTAGGCTGTAGTCCTTGGGTTAACTGAATTTTGTATGGCCGCAAATGCAAGTCTTTATTCGAACTAGTGCATAATGACGTACGCCGAATACCCATTTCTTGAGAACGATGTTTGATAGACGTCTCAGGGTGCTCCACTACACTTTTACGAACTCTCTCGATATTTTTCGGAGTAGGAACAGTTCGAACATGACCTTGACACGACGTTAACTTCACTGGTTTGTTCAAATTTCCGCACCAACTCAAGAATGGTGTTGACACTGGGTACATTATTTAGACCTTAATCTTATCGTAGCTTCCGAATCGTTGCAACAATCGATCCATTATTGAAGTAAAACGTTTTAACAATACGGACGCGTTGGGAGATCGTGAAGCGCTTCATGATCAATTGGACACTTGTGCTTTAAACTACTACAGCGCCACCTACATGTATCAAAAATGGCGCGCAATTTGAATCAGTCAGTTATATATATGCCACCGTGTAGAAACTATTATTACTCTTGTTAACATGGAAATATTGCATGCTTTGTTTTTTGTTGTACGTTTTGGGGGTTAAGAGGCAGAATAGCACTATGCTAAACTTCACCCCTAATTAAAAAGATTACTACTATTTCCCGTTGAATGATAGTAATATATTTTCATACATATTCGAGCTCTGGCCGATATCTGAGCGATGGTTGGCTGAGCTACGGAGTGGCGAGTCGGTATTGTCGGCAGGGTAGATGGAGGTTTATAGACAGCAAGGCTTTTAAACGAATTGTTCGAGCCTGTGTGTCTGACTTGATCCAATTAATTTCTTTGTTATACATGTTCGTAGAACTTTCTTCTTAGAGGGGCTAATTTTTGGGAACTGATGAAAGCGTTTTTTCTCTCGTGACCATTGATGACATGCTTTTTTTATTAAAGACATCAGAACATAGAGATCTGCATACAAAATATCGCACTAAGTAGCAACCTGTTATGAGGTTGGCGACGTTTCGGAAAAATGTATTTCCTTCTTCAGGGATCTACATATATATATATACTATGTACTATGTACTAGTTTTTCATTTGGAGCGGGTAGTTATTTTGCTTAAGGCATCATATAAAATGAGCTACCCAAACTCATCTCCGAATTTCATTAAGAAGATAGCAATTCCCAACATTTACACAAAAAAATAAAAAAAAAACAAATAAAACAACGATTAGATAGGTATTTGAAAAACTAATAAAACGTTCTTTCCGTGTTCGATCATTGTCAGGAAAAACAAACTCTAGCGAACTCAACGTTTAAGTTCGAAACTGTGGTCGTCAAAAATTCAGCATTATGCGCATTTTAGACTGCCACTGATCAGTATAACAAGCGACCTCGTTATAGTCTTTCGTTATATAAAAATTATTTTTCTCTGATAATCGTGTTTTAAATAAGAGTATCTATCTAGTCATTTCATCTTTGTTTTACTTTTAATTTTTTTATATGTGAATGTTGGGAATTGCTATCTCGTTGATGAAATTCAGGGATGAGTTTAAAAAGCTCATTTTATATAATGTCTTAACCTAAATAAGTATATTTTGCTTCGATTTTATTTAGTATTTTAAATGTTTTTGTAGAACCCTGTAAACCAGAGTAGATTTTTTCGAAACGTCGGCAATAGTAAACAGTGTTTTTTAGGCCCCACATCCAATTAATTACAAGAAATCTAATTAGCGATACTTCTCCCGAAAGCCAGATGAAAAATTAGATTGTCTAGAAAATAAGTACTCTAACACCCGGTATAGTAGAGATTAGTGACTATTTTAAAAATAATTTGTTCCATCTATAACTATTCGCTTAAAATTGCACATAAATAACAACCTTCCGTGACAAGTCTTCACAAATCAAGTCATTATAGGGAAGTATAAGGGTTGCTGATCAATAGCGAATATCTCCCGTAATCTGTACTAACTCAATTGCAGAGACGATTAGTTTTCATTAGAACGTCGCCACAAAACCACCCCTTGCTAGTTCGATTCAGAAGCGGCTCGAACTCTGACCCTGCTGTCAGTGGTGCTTTACGACATAAAACAAAAACTGAAGTTTCTGAAATGCAAGTGACGAGCTTGAATTTTTATTGCATTATTATCATCAAGGCAGCAGCGGTGGCCGCAGTAGTAGACTCTTCGGTCTCCTGATCAGTCGCCGTGCGCTGTGCGGGTTCGAGTCCCGTCCCAGGAGAAATTTTTCTCTTGGCTATGGATGTTGTGATTGTCCGTAGGTGGTAGATGGTCTCTGACTGTCGAACGCGGAGGTACCACCCGGCGGTTCTCGTAGGCGGAGCCAGAATGTGTGCATGTTGCATGCACACGTGTTCCTCGCCAGAGTCCGTGTGGCGTTCCCCCTTTCCCCTGTATCCCCCTATAGCCCCACGGTACCCAATGGGTGTTTAGGCCTTAGGCCTTCGTGGTAGTTGGAATATAAAAAAAAAAATGCGTTTTTCGTTTCGTAAGCTATTTAGTAACAGATATGCCCAGCCAGAGTATTCAAAACGTTTATCGGAAATACCTGATTAATCTAAACGTCAAGAAGAAACATATTTTTACTCAGGAGACAAGACTTTTTTTCCAATTTTATCTACCTATCTATATGTGGCACATTTCTTTATTTGTCAATAGAAAGTTCCAAACAAATCATTACAGAATACGAACCAATAAATCGAATTGGTATTATAAAAAAATGGCTTCAAGTAGATTGTCTCAATACTACCCATGCAATTCTGAACATGTGAACCATGAGTATGCAGTATCATCATAGTATCTGAGTCAGCTTTTTATGGTATCTTTACTATTCACCAGCCATAACAGCCCTTACAGCTGGTAATGTTATAGAATAAATTTAATTTGATTTTTAGTTATCAACGTACGTCCAGTATTATTACATCGATGCGCGTCGTCTACGACCCCGCTGGATAGGGAACGGCGTTGCTGAATTGTGATCGGACCCTCCGTAGGTAAAGGATAGCTGGCGTTGCCGGAGTTACATGCGCAACGTACTCGTATGTGTGATACTGTATCTAACAAGTAGGGCACGCTACCGAGAAACAAGATTCTAGAATGTATTTCATTGATATTAAGGATGCAACATCTACCTCCTTCAATCCTCAGTCCCCAGTTTTCCACCCCCACTTAAGCTTTTTCTAAAAATGTTTACGAGCTTCTAAAAAAAATTTACCTCTAGTTAAGTCATCAATGGACCGTCTTTGACATAGAGTCAGTTAGTAGTAACGTTGTGTGACAGTTTCAACAAAATCCGACCGGTACTTTTCAAGTTATACCGGGGCCAAGGCTCAGTAGACAGGCAGACCGGAAGACAGACCGACAGACATACCGAAAGACAGACGAACAGACAGACACAGACTGCCTGATAGAGACAGATTGACAGACATACCGACGGAAATGGGTGACATGGATTTCTCGATATGATACAAGGGTTTATATGTTGAGCCTCGGCAATATCAAGTGTGTTTCGGCTCCATCTGACGTTTCCAGTTGCAAGTTTGATATTTTTAAACATAAGCTTCTTCAGAACGTTTTGTCATTTCAGAACGATTTATGTTGTTGATAGCGATTCGTGTCTCAGCGAAAAAATGGAATTGACTCGTAACATTTTCATGCGATGATCTATTACGACTTTCGACGTGGATTATCAAAGCAGGAATGCATCGATCAACTTGGCCACCATTCTCTTGGTGGCGAAAATCGTGAAGGACGTCTAAAATCAATTGTAGTGCCAGAAAACATTGATGCTGTGCAAAAGCCAATAATGCAAGATCGTCATGTGACATATTCTCAGATTGAGACGTTAGTTCATAAAACACTACATGATCATTTAAGCAGCGTTTTGACCGAAACGAATATTTGTTCACACACATAATAAAAATTGATGCGCTAGTTGTTTCTAAAATGGCTGTCAACGAAGTTGTCCAAGCAAGCATAGCAGCTATTTACGAATTATTAATTGAAGAAATCAGAGACGTTTTGTCAAAATTTAACAGAAAATCTAGAAAACGTCGGTTTTGGGTCAGGACTTGGATATTGCGAAAAAATAAATTGGGCGTTTCAAAAACCCTGCTCCTATTTTTGTGGTCCAGGTGCCGTACATTGGCAAGAAAAAATTATTTACCATAATTCAGTGTCTAGGGTTTAAGTTGTATTAAAGTTGTGTACTTACCAAATTTGATGTGCTGTCTCTCGTTACAGATACTGCTCTTAACCCTGCATCACTCGCGCTATGAGCATTTTGCTCATTGTTTATGAAAAACAACGATCATTTGGCATCGTCGCGGCGCACTTCTAGCTTACTTTATAACTGTACTCTTGAAGATATGGTGACGTGGAATTTAATTAGTTCGCTGTGTCAGGTGTTACGGGACGTTTGTTGACTGATTGCAAGCGAGGTGAGACTTTTGCTCATTACGCGAGTGATCGTGTAGCATTTTTTGATCTGGAGAGAGCATTTTGCTCATAGCGCGAGTGTCACTATTACAATTGTTCCTGTATGTTTGATGAGCCGATAATTTTTGTAAGATTCAACAGGACAATTTTAACGATATGTTGTTGTAACAGCGTAATAGAGATGTACAGCAGAAGCAAAAAAAATTGCCGATCTCGGCCGAGAAATATACGATCGAGCTTGTATGCAGGAAATGTTGGAGAGTGTTAGTTGGACTGTCGCCACAGAGCCAGTGGAAGAAACTATTTTGGACAATAATCAGTTGGATATTGAGAGTGACGATTCAAGTGAGTTCAGTGAACACAATACCAACTCAGAGCTGTCCGAAGAAAAAAGTGTTAGCGATGATAAATACAAAAAAATCAATTTCACTGGTCAACATTGCTTCGTGGGTAAAGATAAAGCCACCCAATGGCTGGCTCATGCATCCTAACGACCGAAAAGAAGAACTTTACGTAAAAATATTGTCATTCATCCCCCAGGCATAAAGAGAGTGGCACAAAATGCAAAGAAAGAAAGGGATTGTTGGGAGTTGTTTATGACACCAGCGATGATAGAATATATTGTCGAATGTACAAACATCTACCTGAATAATCTGCGCAAAAACTATGACCGTGAACGAGATTGTCGACCAACAGATGCCACAGAACTAAATGCCTTTTTTGGACTTATTTACATGGCCGGGGTGAAGAAAAACCATTATTTATCCACAAAAGAGTTATGGGATACCGATGGATCAGCTGCTGATTGCTTCCGCCTCACAATGTCAAGAGAAAGATTCCACCTTCTAGTGAGAGCCATCAGATTTGATGACATAAACAATCGAGAAGAAAGAAAGTCTTTTGACAACATCACCCATATTCGGCAGCTTTTTGAGGAGTTTATTGGAAAATGCCAAGAAAATTACCAAATTGGGGAATATTGCACGGTAGACGAAATGCTGGAAAATTTCAGAGGAAGATGCAAATTCAAGCAATATATTGCAAAGCAGCGAAATATAGAGTGAAAATATACGCACTGGTTGATGCAAGAATGTTCTACCTTTAGAATATGGAGATCTATCCAGGAAAACAACCAAATGGACCATACACGCTTGATAATTCTGCATTTGCTGTAGTCAAGCGTATTGCATGTCCGATTCCAAACACTGGTAGGAATATCACAATAAATAATTTTTTTACATCAATACCTTTGGCTGAATATATGCTTGATAAAAGAACTACTATAGTGGGAACCCTTAGAAAGAACAAAAGAGAGATTCCACTAGTATTCTTAGAAACGAAGAGGAGACCAGCTCCTAGTACCATGTTTGCATACCGCAAAGATACTGTCTTGGTCTCCTACAAACCAAAACCCAACAAAAATGTTCTTTTATTGTATACGTTCCATTCAGATGGACCTCTTGATCCAGAATCTGGCGTTTTGCAGAAGCCGGAAATAGTGACTTTCTATAACTGTACGAAGGGTGGAGTTGACGTAGTTGATGAGCTGAAGTCCAATTACTCAGTGTCCAGGTTCTGTTGCCGATGGCCTTTACGAGTATTTTTTACAATACTGGATGTAGCAGGTATTAATTCCCATATTATCTACAAAAGTAATACATCCAAAATCCTGGCGCGCAGAATTTATTTGAAGAACTTAGCGCTGCAACTGATCAAACCACAGATGATTACTCGTTCATCGATTCGAACTTTACCACTAGATATTCGAACCCGTATCAGACAAATTTTGGGTATACCAGAAACAGATATCAATGCAAGCGTATCAGCACCAGGATTTTGTGGAATATGCCCAAGAAAAAAGAATAGAAGGACAAAAAAGCAATGTAGCAAGTGCAATATCCCCATATGCAACGACCATGTCACATTTATTTGTTCTACATGCTCCAATTCGATAAACAACTTGCATTAGGCAAGCGAATAATTCCTTTATTTTACTAAGTACACGGTTCCTGTTTTAGTTCTAATTATATTATGACACAATATTATTATTTATATAAGATAAATTTTGAGTTGTCACTAAATAAATCTAACAGTTTATGTGCATTATTGGGAGAATTTGCATGTAAAAATGCCTTTAATATATCTTAACCAAATTGTAAACTGTTCGTGAGCAAAATGCTCACGCGCGAGTGATGGTGTAACTTTTACATGCGCGAGTGATGCAGGGTTAAAAATAAATCAGCTTTCTTGAACCAGAATATCTTTGGTTCATGGTTTTTAATAACAATGTAAGTTCTTTCTTGTACATTGTTCAAATTGTTAAAGCGTTGTATCGAGCATCCTTGTTTCGATAACTCTCGAGCAGGGTATTCCATAAACAATCATGCTGCTGATATAAATCAAAGAAATGTAGCACAATACTTTTAGACCACTTCATGCTCATTTTTTGTCTTTTTTTCCACACACAACAAGCACACGAGCCACAAAATCAACTATATTCAATGCGAAACTCGACTGACTATAGTTCACACACTTCAAATCCGTTTCAACTTGTCTGAAAATCGCCTAGGACGCATTAAATTGATCGATAAGTTTTGAATGGATGAAACTTTTTCGGTTCAACTAAAATTGATCAATTAAAATCGAAAACACGGTTCACAAGTATATTTTTATTCGATTTTTGTTGATCAATAAAAATCGTTCCACTAAAATCAACTAGTGAGAACGCTGCTTTAGCTGTGAAAAAGGTCTGTTCTCTTGTCGTGTCTATTGGTGCAAACAGATGGTCGAAAAATACAACGGCGATACTTCAAAAGACGTGTATAGGATTGCAACAGGTGATGAATCATGGATCTATGCTTATGAGCCGGAAAGGAAACAGCAGTCGACTGTATGGGTGTTTCAAGACGAGCCAAAACCGACAAGGTTCGTCGCGCACGGGTATCACGCATCTTGAAAAGTCACATTATGCCGATTCTTTTTGATATTATGCTGGTTTTTTGACATTAATAGAATTTTCTACAAAATGTTATCTTAGCACTTAGTTGCACGTGTTGCCTAAACGTCATGAGGTTTGTTATCAATCTTTGGCTCTGATGTGATGTAAAACCTGCTTCTGAGACGGCATTACTGGAGGTCTAAGCTGTAAGTTGTATGTGTTGATGATAATTACGTTGAGTTCTTGTCTAAAATACATTTAATTGAGATTCAAAGCTAGAAATTAGTTGTGCATCCACTTTTTCTTATCCATTCTGGAAATTACATACACATACAAATTTGCTGAATTTCAAAAATGATAAGTAATTATATTAATTCTCCTCAGTTTTTCGTAATTTATAACTTTGAACATAACCTCTTTTCAGAAAGCACAACATAAAAATAACACGTCGGCCACAGTCAACAGGTATACTTGATTGGCAGCATATTCAGTAATAATTTTCTCATTCAGCAAATATCACTGATTTTATACACATCCAGACCAATACGCATAAATCATCCAGATGCGATCTTGCTATTCAACTAACTTTCTTCTCAGAGATAAAAACTACAGACAAGGACCATTTGGCCTCACAAAACATATGCAACCAATAATGCGTGTAGTTTAGTTGATTCCTCCTTAGATGGACGTTCACAACGATCCTAGTGAGCAAACGTGGAACGACTGTTTACGCCCTAAAAGCTACCTAGTTTGCAAGATGACATTTTATAGGTTTTTTTGACGTTTTATAGGTTTTTTACATGTTACCCATGCCGATCATTCTTCACCAAGGCAATGCGAGCTCTTATGTCTCTCTTGAAACAATGGACTATTTGAGCACTCAGAATATTGAATTAATGGAACATCCTTCATACATTGCGTGGACGACGTTTTTGGTCGGCAGAAGCAGCTGTATATGAGTTCACAAAGTATGTTTTCGAGATATCTCAAGCGGAGTGGAAAATGTGTTATGAAAAATTTTTCGAACGCATGAAAAAGTGGCTCATAATGGAGAATATTTTGAAAAACAGTAAGCTGATTTTCAATGACCAATTAGGTTTTTTGTTTCATTATTAGGCTCAAAATATGAATAGTGACCCTCATTGCGATTACTGTCCTTGCCAGTGGTGTGGAGTGGGAGGTAAATTGGCCCGACTTATGAGATTCAAATTATATTTCAATCCCGCCAGAATTCGAAATTTAATAAATCGTAGTTCGATTATGAGAATACGCTAAAGCAGAAAGTCTCCGAATGAATGAATAGCTGGAAACATCGATTCTTTTTGCAGTGGAGTAGATTAGGCAGGAGTTTGGCCTCCGGCTGGCTTAAATTTACGACAGCATTTACTAATTCGGTATCGTCGACTTAAAATCATTTGAATTCTTAACATGATACGTCCTCACAGTTATTGGTGAATGTTTCACATAACTCATCTGTGATATGGCCAAACTCAAAATATGTAGTTGTGGAGATGATTAGGCAGGAGACCTTGGACATTTTAAACCGTTTCAAGCCTTAGAGTGGTTTACATTCATCCCCTACACAGGTGTTGCTTAATGCAAGCGTTACGTCGACAAAGCTGCTCAATGTTTTGAATTGAATGATATATGATATATGTTAGATGGGCGCGTAGAATTTCTGGCATATAACCTCTCACCTCCCAATTTTTCACCCTTAAAATACTTTTCAAATATGATCAAGATTATTTGTAACTACAAAAAAAGTTTTTGGCCTTTTTTTCCACCGCTACCATCGATTTTGAACAACTGCAAGGCTTTTTCGTCCTTGGTGTAGTAGTAACCTTGTGTAAAAATTTCATTCAAATCCGCGAAGTATTTTTCAAGGTTTAGACGGTCCAAGGATTAACTGCCAGGCTGACAAACCGACATAAATATGTTTTTGAAAGTGCATTAGGGAAAAGCGTTAATTTCTTTTAGAGCTTCAGCTACACAAAATCGAAGCGTCATCAATAATATGTTAGTTTTAACATTTTTGACTTCTTAATCAAAACAAAATTCTATGATGGTTCTAGTTTTTTCAGCTGTCTTCTGTTGGTGACTCGACAACTTCGACTCTTTTTTTATATAAAAGCAGCCGCGCAGGCAGAAGCCTAAATGCCGGAACACCGCGGCTGCTATGATGATCCCAAAGAAATTTTGTTAATACGATTTTTGAACTGCCTAAGGTTAGAGGGAAACTGGGAAAAGCTTCCTCTTGTACACGGTTAGGATGGGAGGCCAAAGTCAGGCGTGTCTGTCGGGCAGGCACATCGCGCGACGGCATCATGGAAGAGAGCTCCGAGGAGCAAAGCCCGTTGGTGTAGCGGTAGAAAAGAGCTAGATCGATGTATGCGTGCCAGATCAGGTCCTTGGTGATCTGGACTCCGACCAACCGAAATGAATGGCTCTTTGGTAGAACCCGGCCATCCATCGAAACCGGATGAGCGCTAGGACGCTTTTTGTTCGTCAAAGTACAGTACTGTGCTTTGGAAGCATTAAACTATACAAGATTGT